GCCGTGATGTGGCCAACTCGAGAAGTGGGTGCACTTTGTGCAAGCTAATTTCTAAAGCATCGCAGATCCCAACAGACAAAAATTTTCCCCGAAGTCTGCTGCCGACCGATCGCAAATGGAGACGGGGACCTGTGTTCCAGTAAACGTTGAACAGGGAGTTGACAGAAACAGAATGATGGATGTTGTAGTAAGCGCATGTCGGGACCATGATAATCGTTTCAATAGATGTTTCTGCTGAATCATGCAGGAGCATAATTCCCCCCATAGGTCTAATCGACATGTCCACTATTTTTTGGGATCAAAGTTACCCCCCATAGCTCGAATAAGTTATGGTGTGCATAATCTCCCTAGTTAAATCTTATATAACCCTCTTCTCAAAACCCTGGATAGGCTCGGATAAAAGCCATGCAACCAGTGGTTATAAAGGTAACAAGGCCCTCTGGGCGGCTCAAATATATAGTCTATTAATTAAACGAATAGTCTTAGTTGGGAGAAGAGACGGCGAATTTTTTAGTGAAGTTTCTGCGGAAAATTTTTAGCATATAAGAAAGACAGCCTCGACGTATTTCCTAATGTTTATTCAGACCTATAAAACCCGCAATAACATCAGGTTATAGAATCAAACTATCCGGTGATTAAATATGCGGAGACTCAGCTTCCACCGAGAAGCATCCAGGGGCAAATACATCAGAGGCGTCGTTGACCACCGTTTTTGGAGGTAATACAGGCGAATAAAGGCGTGTGAATAAATAAGATTGATTTCATGGACTGAATTCTCTTTATCTGAGTTTTTGGTAGGAAAGCGTATTAGTGGAGATAGTGACTGTTGTCTGAGACGTAGACCGAGTCCAGTACGTCACCTTTGACCCATGTGAGTTTTCTAAAAAGAAAAGGCTTGAATCAGAGGAAAAGGGAAAGTTTAATAAATAAATATAGATGAGGATACGAGCTCAACCCGCTTTTATCTCGTCAAACTAGCTTTAGCGATACAAGCATAAAGAAATGGGCCTGATTGCCGAACTTTCGTAAAAGACTATAATTTCAATTGAGAGCTGAACAAATAATTATTGAAGTTATGACTTGCAGCCAACATAGCAGAAATTTACTTTATAACTACTCAACTGTGGTATGGGCTGCAAAACCAATATCATTTAAGTGTGGACGAAGCCTGTATATGCCAACAGTTGCCTGCGTTAGGTACTATTTCAATGTCAAGCGAAGCGAGAAAACAGCATATGATTCTCAAGCAAAACTTTCAAAACTAACAAGAAGTCAGCCAAAAAAGGGGAGGACACTGCGTTTTTGTAATCAGAAGGCACTGTGAGCATAAACGAACCTTCAGTCCATGTGTGTATGCAGTTGACCTCTTGGCCCTTGAGTCTTCTTGTGCTTACCACAATAAGCGGATATATAAAAGTTAATAAACAGACCAATGATACTGGCTCCATACACCAAGCCTACGTATACCAGCTTGACGGGTATGAAGTCGCAACGAACAAGCAGTAGAGTCAGGCCGAACAACATACATACAAAGAACTGCACCTGCAAGAGAATGAGTTGGGTAACAAAGATGCGGTTTACCAACTGTAACACCGTGAGAATTTGTTTATGTGGCAGGTATCGCGTCGACTTCGGTCTAAGCGCAGAAAGACCGTAGTAGGTGTACATTACGATGTGAACGAAACTGTTAATCGTTGGGATGAAGAAAGCTAGAATAGAAACAACAAGTAAGACGCGGAAGAATGGAAAAATCGGCAAACTTAAAAATACCCAATAGACTCACTGCTTCCTCCACAGAACCAGCGCACTCCCATCCAACACCAAAAGGGCATT